AATCGGATGCAGATGGGATCCGAAAATTATGGAATGGTTTAAAATTTATTTTGTCCCTAACCAGTCTAGGGTATCTATATGTCATACTTCAAGCCTGCTGTCGTGATTACCGTCACAAAGCATGACGCCAATTTCGAAGCCATAAGTTCGGTAAGTTCTCTCGCCTCATCCCTAGCGTCACCGGTTAAGGCGGCAGCCTCCGTGCCAGGTGGAGACCTTACTGCCGGTCTGCATCGGTTTGATTATAGGCTCTATGGCATCCTCTTGCAAAGTCCAGGCTTGGTTGACTCTTTGTTCGAACTTCCGAGACCCAGGCCTCCTGAGGCGTCTTCTAGTTTATACATCTCAGCTAAGCAAACTGGAGGCGATGCTTTTGTACTGTCTGACCTGCGGGCCATTCATCAATGTGTTGAAGCTGTTGCTAGCAAATGCCAGCCCGGCGTCGTAGTTGAACTCATTGATGATTCAAGTAGGTCAAACGTAATTGCTTACTCATCTCAGGTGAGAGGGAGCCCACTAATGTGAAACAACTCGTCCACGTGAAACTTGTTGGCAGGGTGGGGTCCTCTTGGCCGATTCCCGAAAATTTTTGGCCGGACGACGAGTTACTCCTCTCCAAACTCGTAAGTCTGGCTTTAGTTAACTTTATTATGTAGCCACCACGTCCATCGAACCCTGTCGTACATATCTGCGCGTCGAGCGATCCACAACCAAAATTTCCAGAATATTTTCCTATGGACAAATATGAATTAGAGCCCTCTGTGATAACACGGATGATAATAGAAAAGGCTGAATCCTCGGTCACATGGCCGTGCTACATCCGTGGAAGCGGCCAAAAGCGAGACGCTCCTTTTGGTTATTGCAAGGCGACGGCCGACTTACAGACGGTTTACCTACATGTTCTTCCGTATAATTATCTTGCGCTATCAAACTTACTAAGTACTTTTGTTCCCTCTCGTACCTTTACCGAATTCACTTTAGCCGACCTGAGTGAAGTGCATGGCATGCGAATGACTGAGAGTTGGGGTTTGAAATTCACGAATTACTTATCGAGTATACCCCGTTACTACTTTGCCGTACGTTCATTTTCTTATGTGTGGCGACACCGCCATTACAGCCAATTTCTAAGGCTTTTGAAAGATTGGGTTTCCAAGGGGTCATCAACGCTGATGCCTTGGATCGCACGCTACCCTACCAACTCAAACACCAGCTACAGAAACTTCGTCAGTCTGCAAAAACGGAATATGATCAGTTTGTACACATAGTCGAAACAGCAGAATCGCCTCCCCCTCTCATAAAGGCAAGCGAGCTTTGTATTTATGCGCTTTGTTTTGTAAACCGGATGTTAGCTTTAAATTTTTCTCGCCCTGTGCTGTGCTGAAACTGGTGCACTGCAAACTTGCCTTCCTAGTGTGGTGGGGCAGTAATATGCAAATTAGCTGAGGATTACTTACAACTTTGGTACTGAGGTACGGTACAACTTATCCAGCCAAACCTGCTAGTTGACCAATGCCTTAGTTTATAACTGGGACAGACCGAAAATACTCTGAAGTCATCTTACTGTCAGATTTAGACACTAGTTGTGCATGTTACACTGCCAGCAATTACTCGCTACCTGGGCTCCTTGCAGACGCAAGTGATTCATGTCTAGTTCGCCGTACACGCAAGCTTAGCAACCATTTGTCATATTATGTTGCGGCCAGATCGATAATCACTCAAAGACAGCTTAGAAAATCCATGCAAATAATTTATAAGGCCAAACTCAGAAATACTGCTTGCCTTCTGTACAAACCCAAACTTCTGAGAAGGGTAGTAGTTGTCTGTATTAGGATGCCACGGTTGCCCCGCCACTTGTCCGTTCATTGTAGACTGATATTTGCATGACACTAGTCGTTAATCATTGCTGTATACGCCCCAGGGCCTAGTGCTACCGATAGGCAGAAAAGGGGATGTTTACTGTGGCTTTCTTGCTGGAGCTGGATGTAGGAATTCGAGGACGGTTAAGTGCGATCACAGCACTGGACAGGTCAGTGGTCGCTCCTAAGTGGGAAGCCGTTGCGTCTGTACGTTAAACTGCGCTGCGCAGCATAGAATTGCCCGAGACCTCAGACGCGGCGCAGCTAAAGACTCAGGAGGACCTATCAGTTTTGGAGATGAGCAAATTCGACAATCTACTGCTTCGACGATCTGCGGTATCTAAGGTGCGACGATAACGTCTCAAAAATAGGATACCGCGCTTCAAGCAGAATTTTGTTGAATCTCTGCCGGCTGCCTTCCGGTGTAAAGGCCCACATTTATCTAACACACACGTATACGTTGACTGTCTACTCCGGAAACATTCGGGCTGAGGCTACGGGTTCTGTCTAATGATACTAATCGATCGACCATGGGGTTCTTTAATTCAAGTTTAGAAAGGAGACGACGCCCATGGTTTGTCGAGGCGTTGCCGCGTCCATCCTCACTAAAGGCGGAGAATCACTGCAGGGATTGTTGCGGCGGCAGCCTCTCCTACGTATTCGCTGAAGTCTTTGCAGCCGTTTTTTTCCAATTGCTTTTGTGACGCGATCCTCGTGTAAGGAAGAATCAGCTTTACGTTCAGCCTGAGCGGGTGTTTTGACCATCGTCTATCGCTCCTTGCTTACACGTTACTTTGATAAGTTGTAATTGTGCCTGATTTGGCCGGCCTCTGTAATGCGGATTGTACCTCCATGCGTGAAGATACGCGGCAGCAAATCTGGAGGGCTCGGCCCATTCTCCTCTACCGACAGAGACCAAATGCCGAGTGCACAAATACCACTCCCATGTCTTGCCGAACTGTATTAATCTGCGTTTTGCTTATACCTCCACGAGACCTCCAGGTGGGCAACGGCACCGGACTGAGGAAAGCAACAATGAGCTCATGAGGCGGACGGTGAAGAACGCGTCCAGATGCCTCATTGGTCTTCGTCGGATGACACGAGGTATCCTCGCGAGTGTGGACTGTCTCATTTGAGACGAAGCCGGCGTACTTCACACGAAGGATAGTCTTCAGGCTGCAGTGGCCAGACACTCAGTTTTCACTCACCTTCAACGCACCCAGCCCAACTTTCACGACCATAAAGAAAGACTGGCCGGATGGATGCACGGCACACGCGGATCTTCGTGAAGATGTAGATATCGCATTGGGTCCATAGGCCAGGAATTATGAAAATCCTGCGACAATATCGTCCTTTGTCAACTCGACAGCAATCTCGCCTCGGGGTACTTGAAGCTCTACTTCAAGTTAACGACCATTGATCCTGAAGGGCCTTCCCTTTGTCGGGGACGCAGCTCGACAATACTTGTTTCCCCAACGATTATGGATGAACCGACCGATTTAACGACTTCGTCCGCCTGTGACACCACAGACTTGGAATATCGCCCTTATTATCAACGACCCACTCGTCTATTTTGTAGATTTGCTATCTCAATTGACTGTCCAACTAGATTCCCGGTGGACGATCATACTGCGTTTCCATTTACTTTCCCCCTTCCCACCACAACATGCGCTAGGGCCGGTGAGAATGACGAGGGGAGGGATTTGGTGTCACCGGCGTCCGTCACGATTGTCCTTCCGTGCTTGAACACCTGTAAACTACAGACGAATTACTTCAGCACGTGTTGGCAGACCACCCGACGTAACGATTGATCTTGGTTCACGAACCACATTTTGTCTGCGATGGTGGCCTTGCACCACCGTCGTGTTCCCTTGATGGGTGCCATGGGCGGGAATCTGCATTGCACTGGCGAGAATACCCTACCGCAGATACACTGTCCTAATTACAACGTACGAAAATGTAGCACAAGCCACGCCAAATGGATCTGTTGGCGCCGACGGCCATAGCGGTAGCAAGCTCCTACAAGCAACATGCTGATGACCTTTTACCAAACGCATCGGTGAATCCAGTGGATAAGTCTATTGCGTCCTGTCCTAAGACCCAGTGCTTATCAGTGGCTCCACAAAGCCATGCTCAGCACGACGGCCACACCCCGGTACCTGTACTTGACCGACGGTCTAAGCCGGACCACCCAATGTTACGGTTGGTTCTGCTTCATGAACCCAGTTTTGGCCGCGCTGGTGACGTTGCATTACTGTCGAACTCCACTGCAGATAGGCCGGAGGAGTAGGCCGGACACTTTCTCGAGAGACAGGTGATTGCCTTGGGTTTCGCTATCTTTTTGCTTGCGAGGTCACGGTAGAAGACGAAACCTGGACCAGCGAGCAACTCCTGCCGCATTCGACCGAACTTTGTCGACCGGGTACGATAGGAAAAACCTGCCGTGGGTTCCTCATCGTAACATAAGTAATCGGTGTGAGATTTGCTAGAAGATAGTGGGTGTGTGGCCTGACCTCGTTCTCGGTAGGTATCCAAAGCTTGGTGATATTCGATCAGTGGCATTCACGTTCTATCTTATTCTTTTTACAGTATCACCAACGCTTAAGTATACCGTCATTCGGGAGCACGATCTACTAAAGTGCCTTCCTTTTACGCCGATTTGGACGATTTGATCATTCTTTGCGCCGACCTAAAGGCGGAATCGCTCTGGTTAGCATCTCTCTGAAAGTGGACTCTGGATAGTGATGGCATCCGAGTTCCCAAATGGAGACGTGCGCAAACTTAGTGGAAGTTGATCTCGCGCTCATCTTTGGTCTTGCTGTTTTCGGTCTGCGAGACTAGCGTGTCAGTTTATTGAACTATGTCCAGAAGGGACGCCACCTGACTGCAGTAGAAGATAGTTCTTTGTGATAGGGTAGACATACATGAGACCGGCTGGGTTAGCTATCGCGAATGTCGTTCCATGTACAACGAAAACGTAGAAGAATTTGATGATATTTGCGCTTTTGTGGTCCTACACTGTCATTGACCGTTGTTCGTTGTTCATCCCAGCTTGCACATTTTTTATTTTCCGTTCCGCTCCATCGAAAGGTATCACGCTCAGACCTAAACATAATCTTGCCCTTGTTGCGTCTTAACCTTTTGCAAAAACAGTGGGAGAATTCATTCAACTGATCTTTCTTTTACCTAGTTGCCTCAGCAATACCTGCTACGTACCATGTGGCCCTTCTCCGAACTGCGAGCTATCAGCGGTATGGCCAAGCCTAAAGGAAAAGTCATGTATGAACAGCCTTGTAGCATCCCTCGGTTGAAGTTGAGACAACTATTGCCCAAGTTGAGATCGAACTTAAATGCTATGTTAGATGGTGTGGGACGTCCGATGGATCGTGAGGACATACACAACCAATCCCTCAGCGAAATGGGTGACTACATCAATTACAAATTTCCACATCCACAAGTTGCACCCCTTCGCGAACTCACGCCCGGTCCAGAACGCCTGGATACCTTCGGGAATCCGTTCAGGCGAAAGGCCGCGGCCGCTTTTGTTGCGGACGAGGGGTTTGTTGAAGACACCGGTTTTCCTACTCAGTCCTGTTCGCCGAACACGCCTGCTATAACTGTGCCTGGCCGGCGTCGGTCAAGTCTGTCCAATATAAGTCAAACCGGTCGGTCTAAAGGTTTGTCTCTTTTGCTTTCCTATGAACACGTTATCTCCTTCAGGCCCGCTCCCTGCCTACATAACGTATACGAATTGGAGAAAGTGGTCGCGAAGCAGTAGCTTGGCCGCCAATTCCCCTCAGCAGGATGACCTAAGTCCCTGTGCCTGTATGTCCGCTCCGTCTGATTTTCTGACTTGTTTATTATTAGCTCCCGTTCACACATACGATCTCAGCCATGGTTCACCACAGCACAGTCTCTCACCTCCAAACGCTGATTTCTGGAGAGATCTGAGCGATATGAAGAAGCAAAAACTTCAATTATCTGAAGAAAAACTTTCTTTTGATGTCAACTACAAAGTTGTTAATGAGCTAATTGACTTGGTAAGAAGGCCTTCCCTAGGTAAGTTTGTCGCACAGACCGTGCATTAATATACATTTTAGATGGTGGCAGGGTCTTCCAGAGTCTAACTAGCCTGGTTGGGAATGTGTCCCAACGCTATGCGTCCGTATCCTTTGTAATGGCAGAATCGTTGAGGTTTAAACGAATGGAATTGTACAAACTCCTTGATGAATGGCGGTCTTGTCTATGTCTACCACAGATAGATGAAAGTACCAATGTCCTAAAGGGTCCGCCTGCCGGCAACTCAGTACACCCCACCACAGCAGTTAACGGCCTGGGTTAGACGCGTACCAGAGCTCGAAGGGCGTGTTCACCTCGCCCACTTTGTACACATGTGTATATTTGTAAATACTGTACAGAACTTGCCTTCGCAAGGATCGAATGAAATAAAGATTTGTATGCATTCTAACTTCCTGCCGCAACTTGCTTTTTTGCTACGTTATTCAGAGTGACAACCGGTGCATACTGAATTTCAGATTGTCTGCAGACGACCATCTTCAAACCATCGCAGAAGCGATGGTGCTTCTGATTAATGGATGTCGTTGGCATTTGAAGAAGTCTGACATTGTGGGTCTTCACCTATTCAAAACTGAAGGCATTGATGAACTACTTCAACTTCCTGACCTGAGAGCAAGCGCTGAAGCCTTTAGGCAGACCGATATCATCTCGATCAGTTCTGAATCAGAAATCCTGTATGTGCACCAGAATGAGTACGCTACTGTTGGTTTTCCTAAAACTGCCTTTCCCCTTACTTCCAACTCGAAATATCTTCGGCCGCACCCCCACTTGCCTCGCTTTGTGGGTACTTCGCAGATGACCTCATGCCACGCGGTGATAGTGGTCTCCGCTGATGCCTTTGTTTTTGGCCACCTTGATGGAAGCGGAGGGGGCAAACTGACTCGTGAATTCTTTCGTAATGTCATCGACTTCCTCTCAACAAGGGTGCAGGATCAAGACCCGCCAAAGGTTCACATTGTTGGGGGCTTTTCGGACCCGTACGGCCACTCAAAGGGTGTGCTCACCCAGATTTTGACAGAGCTGGCTCTTTCCGAAGTAAGTTTCAGCCTGAAGACATTTTGCGCCTACACTCTGAATGAGTCGGAATCTGCGAGCCAAGGTACTGTTCCGCAGCCGGTCGTCCGGGATGTTGTATATGACATTTGGTCCAACAAGCTCTTCCCCGCCAAAATAGCTCTTGAGGCCACCGGTCCCCTGGGTGTCCTGAGATCGTCCTACACGTGGTCTAAAACAGCTAGACTGAGAATGAACAGTATTTTTGATCCACTCACATACAACATAACCATTCGACCGTTCTCTTTCAATCCACTCACCCTTGTCGAGGCGAGAAAGTTCGCTCACTTGCCCAGGGAACAGCTGGAACACTTCTCCACCACACCAAAGCAAGAGTCAGACGGATTCTATACGATGCTGCGCGCGTTGGGCCAGCTGTTGACGAACATGTCCGCTGAGCCTGAGATTTTCCGTAAGGGTCTTTTAACTTTTTCTTACGACACCCTAACCAATTCCTGGAAGCCCCTGAATGTTGCATCAGTAGAAGCGTCGAGAAATCTATGGGCTACCTACGGCTTGACCCCTCATTTGTAAGGACGCCCTTATTTGTGGCGTCCGGAGTCTTATTTGAAAATTTTAAGGGTAAGAACCGCCCTACTGATGTCTTTCATTGCCTGCCTCTTTGAGGTATCCTTCCTCACATCTTGCTGCCATTGTGTTGACCTAGTGTCTAATTTATACTATTGTTTTTCTGTTTTAACGGTTTTTCTATTCTGCCATTTATATCGAATGAAAAGACGATGCCTTACTAATTATTTGGGTACTTGCCTTACAGATAAGTCCCAAATGCGCGCACTGACTTCGTCTGAGTAACGATTGCCAGCCTATTTAAGATACAGTTAAACACGGCTGATTGGCGAGCCCGGTCTTTATCGTTTTCTGTCAGGAAACCTTATCTGTGGATGCGACAGATCTAGCTGTGCGGTTGTGGTCGACGGCAAATTTATGCTATTTACATAAGGTTATGACGTACACGGACCAGGGTTTCTCACCTAGGTTGTGCGCACCGTCCATTGTAACTCCCATTGGATCCGGAGGGTAGGCGTTCTGCGGAATATTGCCAGCTTGTGGCCAAATGTGGTCAGGAGCCTCGGACATTCACCGGGAGGTCTGCTCTTGTTCCAATCGGGTCGGTGACATTCTACTCATCTCGAACTCTCGTAGGTTCCTGAATGCGGATCAGTGCAGGGTGCCTAAACTGGCAACGTCTTTATGCCGGACAATGTTCTCGTTAGCACACCCTCGAAGGTTTTACCTCATACGCGTTCAAGAAGGCCAGTAGGGGGCTGCATGACGACAACCCAGCACAACCGAGGCTCTCAGCATGAGAGTCAACTATTTCCAACTCGGGCCGAAGGAGAGAGCGGTGGCGATTGGCCATCATCGAATTCCTCCGCAAATCAATCTCGGGGATTCGTGGACCAATCCACTGACGCATTAACGACGGGATAGGCCCAGGGGCCTGGTCTCCCCAGACAGCTCGACCTAGATCTCACAGCAATTATTCTTTCCGCCAACTTCGAAAAATTGGGACAGTTGGCTGGTGGTTACGGCAAAACTATTGGGCAGAGACGGCGACATCCATGGGGAGGGTCCCAAATGTCACTGACACTTAAAAACTACCAAATTTTTCTCCAAGTCAGTGGCAGGCCCTCCTCACTGAGTGACTGTAAGCGGGTGTCGTGAGAAAAGATCGAGATATTCTCGCGGGAAGCCTCGGGCTCACTAGCCTTGCTGCTGAAAAGGCTGAGATCGAGCGCCGGCACTTTTGCTTTAGGTGTTTTCCAGACTTCAGTGCTCACCCAGCACCCTCCTCTGGCAACGGCGTGTTTTCCTTCAACCCATGCACCGATGGGCAAATCCCTTCCCGAGGTAATTCGTCCATGCAACAGAGGCAGTGTAATAACAGCTGCCCGCTGAGAACGGCATCGCCGGTGTGAGTCCACAAATCTTGTTGACGTTCTTGCTCTCTGATCTCGTGAGATGCTTAACCAGACATGACGATGCTAATTTGTCTCTGTTGACCGGGCTTGACCGTCGTGCTTCTCCGTAGGAAGGAAAACAAGACTGAGAACTACTGCGATATCCGTCTCACCAACCTCATTAAAAATTCCGCTCGCAATTGACACTCGGTCAGTTTCACTGTGAGTGCGGGGGAGGCCCAACAAAGCCGGTTCCCATGCCGGATGTGGGGGTTCTGACCAAATATTCGCCCTGCGGCGCATTACTTGATTCCGCCGTGATTACCAGCAGCCGACCGCCCCATGTCTTCTTGACTTGTTTGCAGTGCCAGGTTCCATTCATCGCGAGTCCCTTTGGCAAATAATGAAGCCATGCGTGTGTTCCGACAAAGATAATCGTTATGGACAGCAGAATTTACTGGAACCAATAGACTTAGCGACGGCTTGTCAATTACAACCTGTCGTTGCATAACGCAGTCCCAATAAATTCTGTGGTCTACGCCTGCTTTAAATTAATTCCGGGGAAATATTGCTTTAAATAATCGTTATGGTCAGGGCCAACTATCAGTTGGTCACTGCACTGGCTCCCGATTACAAAAACCTATCCCGGCCGTCCGATATTTGATCTGGCTCCGGGCGAGGTTGCATTCTGTCGCCAATCCTGCTTCATTACGCCATTGGCTGAATTCTCAGATCGGTAGGTTTCGCTGATTTAAATATGGACTCAGGCAGCGGCTGACCTCGCTTATGCCAAAGATGTCACCCTGCTAGCGCCAAGTTTTGATGATCCACTGATGTACCAACCCTCAAATTCGGGGTATGTGCTAAAACCGAGAAGACGAACGTGTCTTCGAGTTACATTTGCGACATGGAAAAGGCGTCTCTCGAGATGGATGCGTGCAAGTTTTAGGCAGTCTTGGATATCCGGGAACGTTACTACTGTCAAATGGGCAGATCGAGAAGAGCATCGCCACTGAAGTCGCTGTTGGTCCCGAGAGTTCTTCCAATCCCTGGCTTCTGTAGGCTCGTCATGGTGTCTCCACTGTCACAGCGATCCGCGTTCGCCAAGCATATGGAATTCTGGTCTACGCGCCTGAAAGACGGACGAAAACCGGTGTTTAACCGACCCTGGCTGAGCCATCTGTCAAGTGGTGGCAGCTTACCGAATGGGCCCATTGCCGATGTACAGTGTCAGTTCGTCAGCAACATCCAGTTTTGCGTCTAAATCCTCGCAGTATAACAGAAAAGACTTATCTGGCCGCGACGGACCAGGTTATACCTAGAAGAAATTCTGCATGCCGACAGGACTCGTGCCTTGCTTGAGGTTCTTGCGCCATCACAGTTATATAAAGTCCTTGGTACGTGGCTACACGTGCAGACTTCATTGAGCAATGTGAATTCAGTCGGTGAAGCCAATGAGTAACTTTACACCCATCGCTTTTGACTGTCGCAAACTGCCAAAGAGCCGGACCAGTTGACCCAAATAGCGTACCTTTCCCTAGCCGTGACGGTCAGAGAGAATGTTGTCCTATACCACTTCATCCAGAGATTTCAGTCGGTTGAGTCAACCCATTATCTGCGTGTAGAGCCACCGGAGCAGCTCTAAGACAATCGAACGGGTCGACCGATACTTACGTGTGGGCAGCTTAATACAGCCGCTGCAAGTGCTATAAGGCACGTTGATTCGCAACGAGGTTGAAAGGCTACACGATCGGCAGGTCACAGTAGACTTTCACTCACGACTTCTAGCTGTTAGCTTGAAATCTGGTTCAGCAGGGCCCGTCAAGACGTGGAGTTAGTCCTTGGACTTTCGGCTTCTGCTGCCAGAGAAGGGAGTTGGTCGTTCTCTCCAGGTCAGGTTTAGCGGAGCGCCCACGACATAACGAAGCCGAATCGTTTGTTAAGGTAATCCAGCCATAGTGTTGTCATTCCTTTCCTCAGACGGCATGAGCTCTGCCGTGTGTCTGCCGAATGGCTCCACTGATTGGACTACAAGTTTCAACCCGAAGAGAGAGCTTGGGAGTAGCCCTGGGATTTTATCTTCAGGAATTTTAGCCCAACCCATCCTTGCGGCGGATTATGCAGAGACGCTGGTTTTCAGTCGATGTTCTCGAACCGCGACAGGAGGGGCATCATCTTCCATGTGATCGCTTGCTCAACATACAGTTGGTCGTCCTCCGGCTTCTCCATTGCTATATACTCCCATATTATTGCAGTCGCAGCCACACTGATCTAGCCGTGGTAATGCAAGTCCTGGAAAGAGTCGCGTAATCGTAGTTCTAGTTCGTAGTTGTAAGTTTACGAATAACGTTAGTATGGGAATTAGGCTTCGT